GGGGGGTGGAGTAAACGGTACTTGATGGAAGAATTATAATGATACGGGGTGACACTACATGGCTTTGCTCCAATTCTGAACAACCAAACAATATTTATAACCCACTGGAAGCTTTTGATGGGTGAAATTCCTGTTCAAAATGAACTATAAGTTATATGCTACTTACATGTTTAAAGACCCACACAGTAAACTCCATCCCCGACTGCTTCAACCTGGAGGTGGTATCAGTTCCTAAAAGGAAGAGACAAAAAGATTTAACCATATTTTCAGTTCAAGAGGCAAAAGATTCAAGTTTTAAGAAACCGGAGAAGGGGTAAATTTTGATGTCAAACTAAAAGTATTAAAAATAAACTATGTTTTTAAAAATTTGCAATGCTCCATTACACTTTCATTCAGATAGTAGAATATGCACTAATTTCATAGTTACTGACAACAAAAAAGGAATTAAATTTAAGCCATTTTCAAAATAAGGGAAATGAGATACATATAACTACGCTGTACCGCTCACTACTAGTTCTTGCGAGGGTTATAATTGCCAAAACAACCAAGAATCAAGCTGATTTTCCTTCACATAAAGTAGTTTCTCAACCTTGAGTTCATTTTCTAAATTCAGGGACTGAAAACTAATATTGGCTTCCTTTCACTTGTGGTCTAGATGTATCTAATAAATGACATCATTCAATTTTTTTTTCCATAACACCGCATTCAATGAAAACAGTGAGAAGAATGAAACAACATTGGCTACTCTAATAACATACTTCATCACAATGAAACCAAAATACGAACCTAAAATAGTGACAGTAATTGCACTAAAAGTCTAAAAGCCAAAAACAAAGAGGTACATTTGACTTTGATGTTGAGGTAGTAAAATCCAAATGCAAAAAGGTATGTTATTAAGGGCTACTAACAGGTATTTTCATCCAAAAGTTTAGATGCATTTATTTATATAAATTTTATCTTCATCCATTATCTTAATTCCAATTCAAACTCAACTGAACAAACACTTTTCAACTCAACTTACATTTCGTTTAAACCTAATAGCTGTGTTCTTCATTTTTTATTCCGATTCCGAGGATCTCATTTCCATCCCAAGGAGGAACATATGCCCCCTTAAAATCCTTCAAGCTTTTAGCAAACACATTGGCTACCTTATCCACATCAAATCCCACCACAAAATCCATCATCAGAGGACTTATGAGAGTGTTTCTAAAATTGGCCAGCATCAAAGCACCGCCAACCTTAACAGATTACCAATTTCCAGCAAGTTTTAAGAAAGAAACACCCACAGAAAACATCCACGAAGATCATCCAAGCATCAGTGTTTCATACAAAATGCATCAGTTTAAGATTTCCAACACACTGTCCATACAAAATCATTAATCCTGTTCTCCTTTGAGATATAATTGATACATATCCAAAACAGAGATTTTCAATTTAACTTTTAAAGAAAAAAGGTAAGAAAACTAGAAGGCAAGAAAATTCTTCTTTATCCATATCAGAATCCTGAACCCTTTATCTTTGGCATGCAGAGACCAAAAAATAAAAACTAAAAAATGGATCATAGACAATCGACTTAAATCTCTAAAACTATGACGCATATAAACATCAGAGATTTGGATAGTCCTTCCAGAGGGAAAAGAAATACAATTCAGGACCAGTCTCAAAACTCAAAACAGATTATTCACCAACCCTAAGCTCTAGCACATGAAAACTCTCCCCCATAGATATGCAGAAAATCAGAGATGCAATAAAAGCATTCAGATTACCAAATATACAGCTGAAAATGCACTGCAAAGTTGATGGGAAACTGTTTGCTGCAGCAATTGACCGGCAGAAAATCGACATCAGTCTCACTCTCAAAGCTGGATTTGCTGGACTGACTTTAGATTCTGGAGAAATATTTTCAGACCCTGTGGTTCCTAAATGGCATGGAACATAACATTAATTATGTTACAGCCGCCTGATATGTCAACATATTGAAGAAGTAACTGCCTTCACCATCCACCAATGTTTACTAAGCATACAATCAACAAATAGAATCTCGTTATATAAACTTATGTTCCATGAGAGTCAAGACAGTGCTCCATACCATTAAATAGGAAAAATAGTTTGTTAATCAGCTTCGGATCATCTAAATTCACACCAGAAGCATTCTTCTTCAAGACCTCCTCAGCTTTCTTTACAACAGACTCTTGACTTCAGCAAAACAACCAATATAAACACATAATCAAAATTTGGGAAAATTTAGAAACTTATTAACATTTATCAAATATTCAGCGAGTGACCAACTGGTACCTGTCAGCACATGCAGAAATGTAGAGAGGGTAAACAAGTTCAGGAGGCAACTCCAAAGCCACAAGGATATTCATCATTCCCAACTACAGAGTTAAAAATATAAAAGATATTTTCAGTCAAAAACAACAAAAATGGATGTGAACATTATGAACATGGTCAGAGTAAACTTTAGACAAAAGTTTGAATCAATCTATTGTTATGTCAATAGTATTTAATGCTTCTATGAATAGTACCTTCCTATTTTGAAGCATATCATTTTTCAGCGGTTGTTTTCCTGTAATTCGTTCACATTGAACAGATGAAAGCCCAGCTGGACATCCTCCACTGCAAAAGCAGCCTTCACTTTCACTTTACAAGACGAATGTATAGATGAACTGAATTCAGGAAAAATACATGCAGCAATATAAATAAGACTACTCAAACCTCTGAGGTGGTGGCTGATACAAAATTGTAAAAAGACAAAATTCAAGAAATATCTCGCTGTCCTTAGAACCACGTAGCATCCTATATTTTGCAGCAACTTCATCACTGATTTGAGTTGAATGGCACTCACCAATCACCTGAAACCAAAATCTTAGCAGTTGATACAGTATATGAAGAGATGCCAATATTTACATCATTATTGACTGGACAGAGACAGAGTGAAAGAGAATTTTATACGTTGAATGGCCCGTGGGCTATGGCAATCATATCCAATGATGTAAATGAGGAGAGATATTTTTGTGATAAAGGTCTTTCACGACCAACCAGAGACAGTTTACCAAGAATATAAAATGCAATTAAGAAGGGTGCAATCTAAAACTTTTACCAAATTTAACATGCATTTAATATGACTGCTTTTCAGCTCTGATAGTATTACATGACACTTCGGGAACCTAGTCATAGGTGCATTGAAAACACAATACATTGTATGACAACTGATCTTGAAATACATAACTTCAATATCATACATTTCTCCTCCTATGAACAGATTTCTTTTTCTACCAAAACAATGTACCCTCTACAAGGTGTGTGCTATTTAGGGCTTTTATTTAAGAAGCCGCAATTTAGGATGGCCAGCTACTTTAATCCCTTGAATTTTTCACTCTTATTTTGAAGCTACTTAGTTAATAGAAGTGCTCGACAAATACATAGAAACAATCTAACAATAAGAATGCGCAGTTAAAGTAGGGGGGGAGTCTAATATAATATCAAGCATTTTGTCCAGAATTTTGGCGGTGGGCGCATTGGTTTCTTCTCTTATTTCTTCCTGAGAGCTAATATATAAAATTTTCAGACTGGTACTTTTCTTGTTGAAATACATTAGATAAATGTAGCATTCAACATCAAAATAAAATGTGGAAGGTTCTCCCGGCATAACTAAATTTATTTTAGCTTATTATAAAACAGAATTTTTATGAATATTTAAACAGGCAGGCGAGTTTCAATTGAAGCTCATCAGAAAGTTTAGAAATCACAAAAATGGATAGTACAGAGAAAAGTATATCTCCAAACAAATTTTAGCTTGTTAATAAATCTAATATATGTAAGGGGTCAGGCTTGTGTATTGGTGATCCACTTGCAAGGAAACTAACAAGAGAAAGCAATGCTGCAGCTTCACAACTTACAAAATGGTTAAACTAAAGATTACCTTAGCTGTGAGTCTCAACAATATATCCTGATGAAGAGGAGGAAGCTTTGATATGTTAGCTAAAAATACAGGTGCCATGATTTGTTTTTCCTGAGAAGTTATTCAAAAGCCAAGTGAAAAAGAAAATAATTTATTTTAATAGATTTGTAAACATACCAAATAGATTAATACAGACCTCCTTGGGCACACGTTCTATTGCCATCTCAATGTACATTATGCAAAAGTTTCTAATCATTGGTGCAGCACTAGACTCCATATACAATTTCCATAACTCGGATAGTGGTAGACCAATCTGTTGCTGGTGCTTCACTCTCTTGTTCACATGACTCAGGATCTCGATAACCTAAAACATGGAAGAAAATATCAATTTACACAACTACAGAAATGACTATCCAAAAATAAACACAAAAATAGATAATTGGAGATGCATAAGAGGGCCAACTATCCAAAGTCTCCACTTAGCTCAATTTTCTTTTGTCTAGTGCAGAAAAAAAAATGTAATAATGTACAATAAAAAATGATGAGCTATGTGCTTCAAGGTTGTGACCTGCTACAGCAGAAAGAGATCAAGCGAACATAAAAAATGATGTAAAATCATCAGAACTTGTCTTTTTCTATTTCACCAAAAGGTAAATGTTAATGCACGATTAACTCAGAGAATGAAGGGAAAATTTTCTCTTTTTCTGATAAAAAGACCAAAATGCAACCAAATTTCTCTTTGATTAATGGGAATAGACAAATTTCTTGCTGCCTGGTAGTGAAGCTCATGTCACCATACGAGCTCTTGATATATATTTACTTATCTTTTACACCAAGTAAGTCAGCTTCAATATCTTCCCAGATTTCTACTTCTACAAGTCAGATATTTATTTTTTATTTTATTAAATGTTTTTAGTGGACCACCCTCCCAAGTGCTTGCACTATTTTTTCTTTTCTTTTGAGGCCAAAAGAGTAGAATTTCTCGTGAATGAATGGTGATGAGTTTTGATCTCAAAATGTGTATCTCTGTTGGTAAAATTATGAGAACTTACCTTGATTTAGAGTACTAGGAGATATAACACGATCAAAATATGATACTTCATAAACCTGAATTTGGTTCAAAAAGTCTCTACATTTCAAGAACGAAAGAGACAGAGAGAGACAATATTGCTTATGGGTATTCTTTATTTCCTCAATATCTGAATATGCAGAGCCTAGTAGGTATCCTAAAGAATAATCCATATTAATGAAAATTTGTTCCAAATTCAACCCTGATGCCCCAATTCCATGCCACCGAATATAGTGTACTCTGCTCAAATGCTTAAAACCGGGACAGCCAGGTTCTACTATCCAAATCCAAAATCTGAACTGAAACCTCTACCATCTAAATACTAACTACCTCCAGAGAAACCAAAAAACAGTCATTATCATTATTAATTTAACGCAAAAAGTAAGTCTTTATGCAGAAGAATTTTTATCCCACGCTTCATTGTAAATCAAAAGCAATTAGAAGCAAATTACTCTTCAACCCACCACACAAATGATTTCATATTTTGAGGTGAGTAGTATAATTGATTAGCATCACAAAGAATTCGCTCAAGTTAGAATTTTCCTGATTGTCACTACACTTCTAGTCTTCTACAATCTACTACGTTCAAGTATCCCCACACACAAAATGTAATCTAATTATACGAGATTTGTGAAACCCACAAAATATGAAAAAAGAGTACTTTGTTTCGCAGAGGGGTGGAAGGAGAGGAGAGGCAGGCGATTGAGAGTGGAAGAAGCTTGGAGAGCAAGTCTTGTAGCTTAGGGTCGTCGCAGAGTGCGAGGCGAGTCAACATTCTGTCTAGCATTTCCTCTTTCTCTTCATCGGATTTTCCAGACAGGACCGATGACAAGGAGGCGGAGGAGGAAGATGATTCAGCCATGATTTTTGTTGGGTTTTTGGGTCTGAACTCTGAAGAAAGAATTGAATCCTGAAAAATCAAAATCAGATTTCGGTCGCTAAATGGGTGCGTCAAAAAAAATACACAAACTTCGAATCTCCAAAATAAGAACCATAGAGCTTCAAGTCAGCTAATTCGTCCATTGCAAATTTGATTGACAAAGAAAATAATTTTTTTATTTTTTTATTTTTTTTTTGGGTACTTCGACCAGATTTTCGTTTTTGAAAACAAGGAAAATATCATGTTCAAGTTAATTTTTTGTGCGTACAAAATAAACTTTCTTTCCACATTTTTAATAAATTACTTATTCAAGGATTATGAATTGCAATAAAATTCTTGACATTACGATGTAGGTAGAAGAACTAATCCAATAATTGTATTTATCACTTATTATCACGGAAGACTCGATCTTTCACAAGAAAAGATTAATGTGTTTGTACTTTTCAGTACGCGAAATAATTTTACATTGATAGGTACAAGTTGAGTCGCATTGATAGGTACAAATTGTGTTACCATTCTATTAATTTTAGCAACTATATCCATGAAACTAAAAGTATCTCCAAAATGCTATTTAGAAGTGAGATATTATTTATTTTAACGAGTTAAACATCGAGATTAAGCACCAAGATACTTTATTTTAACTTTCCAAAATAGAGAGTATGTTTGGTTTTCCACATAACTCACTTTCTTCGCATATCTTCATGACTGTATATAATACAAATATAAATTTTAATGCTCCACTACTTAAATTATTTATATTATATCACATTTTTTAGCTACTCACATGTAAAGAATACATATTAAGTAAAAGTGAGGGAAAATTGAATGTTCGCAAGTGAAATAAAGAGTTTGCTGAAGCATAAAAATTTTTACTTTTTAAATTTAAAGATGTTTGACGTTATAATCAATACATTCTTTAAAAATAAAGAATCTCTTAAATATACTCTAAAATATGTCTGCACCATCCTCTAACTTCTCATCATCGACCAACTAATAGTGTAATGGTATCACCAAACCCCATCAAGTAGGATTCTTCTTAAAATCACTTGTCATCACATCGGACCTCAGTTCCTATATCTCATCCACCGACAAAGGATATAATTTCTAATTGGCACAGTGGTGGCCCTAAGTATAGGCGAGGCAGACGATTGCCTAAGGCTCCGCTTTGATGAGGGCCACAAATAATGTAAAGTTAATTTGTTGGTTGAAAAGAAATGACAATTATATTTATAAAATTCTGTAAAATAGAATTATTGTATGCAAATATAAGAAACTAATAAAAATTGAAAATATAAAAATATTTAAATATATATAAATGACAAGAAACTTATCACTTACATTTATTTATTACAAACTTTACTTTTCCTCTTTATAACTAAATTGGCACTTTCTCTTCCAAACATTCATTTTCTTTTCTTAACCAAACAAAAGATCTTTTTGTTTCTTCAAATTCCACGTCCGACAATCATACACCATTAGTTTTTCTATCCAACAAGATATAAATTATCTCGCTTTGAGTTAAAATTTTCAAGATTCAATTTAGCATATTGGTTTGATCTCACTATCATTGTTATAACCTTATATGTTTCTTTTTTTTATCTCTTATCTTCAAAACACATACTACAGAATACATAGGTTGTTATTATATTATTTTGTTTTAATCTCTTGATAATAATATTTTTAGATGTTTACTGAAAGTAATTTGAATTTAATAATTCTTTGTCCGTATTCATACAAATACTTTTTATTTTTAAGTTAATTTCTTATAAATTAATATAAAATTAGAATCTTGTTTGTATTTGATTATCATTTTCATTATTTTATTACACTATCTTTTCCAGTCAACATTCTCCAATTTTGTTCATAAATCACTCGAATGTATATTGAATTTTGTTTGAAATAGTTGTTGTGAGAAAATAATTATAGAAACAAACATACCTCTTTGCCATTGCATCATAATTCTGTCTGTCAAACTTTACTTATAATTTGTATTGCACGTTGAAATTTGACATTTTGTTAATTTCCTATTCAAATTTTTGTCTGTGTTAGATTCTTCATAATTATATTAAGCCCCTATTTGGTATCAATTAAAATATAGTCAAAATCAACAATTAACTTTAACCACATATTTTATGGGTTTCACAACTTTTAATCCACGTTTTCATCTAATTCTATTAAAATATACTAAAAATTTGATTTTAATCTCCATCAAACAAAGACTAAAACTCGAGGCTTCGTATTTGAAATTGACATAAGACCCCCAAATTATCAGGGTCGCCTTGTTGGCACCTAATTTTGTCCTTGTTTCACCTTAGAAAATGGCATTCTAGTAGAATTGATTAGTTTCGATTTTTGTGTTGGGTCCCAAAACAATTCAACTCAATCCAACCCAATCTCTACAGGCAACTCTAACTTGCAACCCCATCGCATTGGAATAAATTAGGGGAACGCGGTTCGATTTGAGCGGTTTGTGCTGTATTTTCAACTCAAACCATTTTTCGCGGTTTGAAATTTTTTCAAACCAAACCAAACCATAATTTGCGGTTTGGTTTGGTTTGGTTTTAATCCATGATTTGCCATTTGATATTGTAGTAATGTATTTAACAAAAGTTAAATATAAGTTTAAACGAGAATTAATAATGTTAAATGTTAAATTACATTCATATTTTCAAAATTGGTTGCTAAAAGATATTAATAGAACAAATACATATTTTTTCATTTTTATTTACATTTTCTTGTTTGACATTTATATTGTCATATAACGGTTGGTAAATGTAGAGTTATATTCTGTTTTTATAGTTTGGCTAAAACTCATTTCGTCTTACTAGTGAGATATTAGATAAGGATTGAATGTGATATGTTTAGATGTACAGAGATAGATAGATTTTCGGCTTATTGGAAACTGACGAATTTCATCCTTTAACTACTTTATGAAAGTAAAAAATAATAGTACTAGTTAGAAAACTTTATCATTTTCACACAATCAATACGCTCGGTCCTTCATTCTTTCCAAGTTATAAACAAATTCATTAATCATCTAGGCACATAAATAATCATTTTTCTATCCAAACCACAACTCACAAGTATATAATAAGTTTAAAAAAATAAAATAAAAGAAAGCAAAATGAAAAAATGGCTTGAATAAGAATCTAAAACTTATTGAAAGAGAAGAGAGAAAGAGGTGATTCAGATAGAGATTAATAAACTAACAGGCAAAGGCAATTGACGATTCGTACAGCAGCGGCAAACAAGCATCAATTTTAGGGAAATAAGAGTTTATTTCAGGGCTTTTGAAATTTTAAACGTGATTTGCAGACGTAGTTTTGTTGAATATGACTTGGATTGTTGAAAATATATGTTATTTTTTTCATTTCATATGATTTTGGAATAATTTTAGTTTAGTTTAGATATTGAGTAAGGACATATGTTGTGAACCTATTAAATCATAAGTCAACAATGATGAAATTAATTTACTTTCTATGATTATTTCAATAGGTTGGTCGTGATTTGTATTGCTAAATTGATATATTTTTTTTAAAAAAAGTGAAAACTATAAAATTTTTAAGTTAATAAAATTAATATTTTAATTAAAAATTTTAAAACGGTTCAGTTTGATTTTACGCGATTTTTGAAAATTAAAACCTAAACCAAACCATTTTGAAACGGTTTAGTTCAGTTTGAGGGAAAAGAAACCACGGTTTCATGTGGACTCGAACCAACAGTTTTAACTCAACAGTTTCGGTTCGATTTGCGATTTTGCGGTTTTTTTGTGTAGCCCTAGAATAAACGAAATTGAAGGTGAGAGATAAATGAAAAATATGTGATCAAAAGAAATAAATTTTAGAGGAAAAGTGATTCTAAGGGTATGCAATTTCAGTAAAAAGCGAACATCTTGATGTAAATTATAAATAGTGGATATTTTTAAAACGCGTTAACAAATTGAACATGGGTAATTAGCACATGACATCTTTACTTTTTACTATTATCGTGAAAAACGTTACCGTCTTGTATTTTTTTCACCCTTATTTTTATATTTCATTGCGCAAAAAGTCATTTTTCATTCATTTTTTCAATTAAAAGCTATGAAATAATTAATATAGCCTTCTATTTAAATAAAAGAAAAAGAAAGAAATGATAGCAGTTATAGTCCTAAATTTTTTAAAAAGTGCAAACGAGTCACAAATAAATTAATAAAAGGATAATTAGCCACATAATGTCCCTATCTTTCACTATTATTGTGAAAAAAAGGCCTATGCCTTTCATATTTTGCATTCTCACCCTTTATTATACCTATGATTACGAAAACTATCCTTTATATCCAATTCATCCAGTTTCTCATTTAAAAACTGTAAAATAACGAATATACCCTCATAGTTATTTATTATTATTATTTTTAAAATAAAGAACTAATTGCAACTACGGTCCCAAATTATTTTAAAAAGTGCAAATGAGTCCCAAATAAATTATTATAGAATTTTCAAAAATATTTATTTTTTTATTTAAATAGGAGGGTATATTTGTTATTTCACATCTTTTATTGAGAGATTGGATGAAAATTGATAAAAATTATGGTTTGCACAATTAAATGTGTAATTAAGGGTGAAAATGTAAAAAAATAAAAGTATGGACATTTTTTACAATAATAATGAAAGGTATGCATATTATGTGCTAATTAACCTTTTACTAATTTATTTGGGACTCGGTTGCATGTTTTTAAAAAAAAGGGATTGTAGTTGCAATTAGTTTTTTTCCTTTTTCTTTTTATTTTATTTAAAGAAAATGGTATATTTGTCATTTCACAACTTTTAATTGACAAAACGGATGAAAATGATCTTTTTACACAATATAATGTGGAAATAAAGGTGAAAATATCAAACAAAGAAAAAAGAAAAAAGTAAGGACATTTTCTTGAATATGCATGGAATTTCCTCCATGTCAAAAATAAAACTTTTTGACATTTAAATGGATTTAATATATGGATTCCATCCAAAAGGATGAACATAATAAATTGAAAGTTTGGACACTTCAAAATCAAGGAAATTTGAATAGGAACTAATATTATCCCCAGGGTGATGTTTGGATAGCCCAGCTCCACATTTCCTTGTAAGTAATTTGAATAGGAACTACTGTGTGATGTGTCAGCTAAATTACCTTAGCTCATGATTGGGCTCAATTAAAATGAGATTTTGGGGAAAATATGTTTTAAAATAGTGATTTTTTGGAAAAGTATGTTGTTTAAAAATAAAAAAAAATTTGAATTTTGCGTAGCATTATTTTATGAAAAAATATGTGATTAAAAATGATTTCTGAAAAAAAAATGAAGCCCAAACAAGTATTATCCGGTTATTAACTTTAATTGCAGTTATTAATTTTTATATATAACTTTATAAAAATAATTTAATATATTTAGATAAGTTATTTTTCTCATAGTAACTAAAAACTGATTTCTAAGCAGTAGAATATGAGTGCTTTTTAAAAATAGAGAAGTCCCAATCATTACATTTAATAAACTACAAATTTCAAAAATCAATTTTTTAAATTATTCAAATCACATTTGAATTGACTGATGATGATTAAAAAAAAAAGTAAAATAAGAGATAATGAAAAAGCAATAAATATTTTTTAAAAAAGCAAAAGTAAAGAGCCAAAATAGAGAATATGTTAGAATGTACAAAAAATCAACTCTCTAAATTTTAGCAGTGCTTTCTATTATGCATATAATGGTCTTTAATATGAATAATTTAAGAAATATAAAAGTGAAACTTATAATTTTGGTTAGGAATTAAAGACGAGATATGACACAATATGAAGTAGCAATTACAACACTAGAGAAATACAAGAAAAATTGGCAAATGAATAAAGAATTTGTTATAATGGAGAAATAATACAATAATATTGTGTTTACTCTATTGTCTGACTCTTTAAAACTCATACAAAGTCATATGAAAAGTCAATAATTCGTGTGGAGTATATATAGGATTTAAAAAGAATATGTTTTTAAGTGGAAAAAGGATAAAAAAATCGTGTAAAAAAGAAGGAAATAATTTTTTTCTCGAATAAATATTCCGATTGAGCTGCATCTTCGTGGGAAGTGAGCGTCGCAACATCATTCGAACACCAAGAAGGTGGTAGGCGAGCAGTAGTGTAGGCACCTTCAATGCCGCCCATGCGATGAATTTCAAGATAAATCTCACTTTTTGATCTCTTTAACACCTTCTTCAATCAAAATACTACTTCCAATGAAATTTGGGTTACAATATTAAAAATTTTAAAAATAGTATTGATAAAATATAAATAGAGAGTGAGTTCGACTCTCCAAATGTAGAGAGCCTAACTAGCTCTCTCTCTTATGAATCAGATAGATTCATATCTAAAAGAGGTTGACAATAAGTTTTTTCAAAATTGACTATTTGACCCTCTATTAAAGGTGTTCCAGAAATGTCTGCGATCGAGTAAATAGTTCTACGTTCTCAATAACCATGAAATGATCATCTTTGGGTGATCCTTTTGTCGACGGATGCTCCTATTACACTCGAATAAAGAGTATCCTGAAACCTAATTTTAAAGTTAGACTTTTTAAAATAAAAGGGAATCTCGTTTTTAAATAGTAGATGGTCTTAAAATCATTGACCAAGCCGATGTAAAATCATTGACCAAGCCGATGTCTTTAAACTTGTCATTAAGTGATTTCAATGTTTTAAAAATATGTTCGAGCATTGATTTAAAGAAGATAAGGATTTAAAGGTAAAGTTTAGGATCAATTCAAATGTTGAAGTGCTACTAAATGAAAATATTAGAAAAGTAATATTTTAGGAGAATTGACTTGTTCTTTTTGTGAACCAGCACAATCTTGAGTTGTTTTAACTATGCGATTTTTGAAATTTTATCTAAAGTTGGACTTGTTCTTATTTATTTTTTTCCCCTAACAGCACTAGCTAGTTCGATCGAATTTTGGTAAGCTTAATAATAATAATAAATAAAAAAAATTATAACTTGTATGAGAAGAGGTAGAAGTTGACAAGTTAATACAATGTTTTTATGTGTAAAAGTCTAAAAGAGCAAGCAAATCATTTGACTAAAACACCAATCTCATTAAGAGTTGAACCAAGGACCTATGGACGGGGCTACCCCGTCTCGACATGTAGTTGTCCCTCAATAGTAAATAAGCTTTCTAGAGGGTTTGTAATTCAAGTTGTAGAGCTTCTTTTAAATTATTTTTGATCTTATCGAAGAATATTATAAAAGTGTCTTCGTATTAAAATTTGAAACAAAGATAATGATAGATGGAACAAACTCAAAAGAAGATGAAAAGAAGATATTCATTTACTTCATCTAAATTTTAAAATAATAATAATAATAATAAAATATTGTCTCTTTCAAGAGATGCATTGTACAGAATAAGAATAAGAATAATAATAATAATAAAGGAATTAACACGTATTGTCCAATCTAATAAATAACATTAAATAAAAAAAAAATTATGAATCCAAAAGATATAATACTATAAAAATGTAGTTTATTTTTTTCCTTCAAATATATGGAATAAATCATACGTTACATACAAATAGAACCACACATTTTGAGCATCTTAATACATACCTCACAAGAATTATTCCTAAAAATAAAACAAAGAAAATAAATAAATTTAAAAATCATCACTACTAATCAATAAATACATAAAGGTCCTAGCAAAAATAAAATTGCACTCAATTGAACACCAAAGACTCTTGAAAAAGCAAATAAAGGAACAGATTGAGATGGTTCTACTGTATCATCACTGGTATCCTTAGGATTATCAAAATTAGATGGAACCAAAGTTTCCGGTGCCGACTCATCGTCTCCGGATTCTGGGCTAATCGGGGCCGGAGAATTGTCAGACGATGACTTTAAACTTGGAGGTAATCCTTGGCCATAAGTCACATTAATCTTAAAATGCTGCCCTTTTTGGCATTGCCATCCATCATAATCACTTGAGAAAAAATAAGTCATTCCCACTTTGACAAGAGGAACTGCAACAGAAACAGGGTGTGGTGTGGTGGATGATGGATCATCAGATGACCATTGCACTGTGTCATTGTCTAGGGCATCCTCATAATCACAGAGCTCGTAGGTTGTGAAATTGTATGTTTGGATGACTGAATGATTGTTGTCTGTGTTGAAAACTGCATTGACAAATTAGCAAGAAGAGTAGTCACGTGAATGCAAGTAGGAAAAACCCGATGCTCGAGCTATGTTTTGTATGTGAGATTGGATAATACAGAACAACATTAAAGAATACAAGAATAAAGAGAAGTAAAAGGGATCCCAATTTTATTTTTATTTTTTTGAAAAAAATACTCGCTTTAAATATTGAGCACGTAGAGATGCTCATTTATTGATAATAAAATTGACTCGTGTCAAAATAAAATAAAATTTAAACGAATACGTGTGATCCTTCCCTAACAGGGAGATGCTCATTTATTGACAATAAAATGTCTTGTGTCAAAAGAAAAAGAAAAAAATTTAAATGAATACGTGTGATCCTTCCCTAGCAACTTAAGATTTTTGAGAAGACGATTAACATGGTTCCAAACTAGACCAAAGTTTTTGGTTCTCGTCTTTCCATTACCTTTAATAAAATTGTGCACGCACCGCAAGAAGGAGCGGTAAAAATAATATTTAAATAATTCTTGATGACCTTCTTTTACAAAGTGTTTTATTTTTAAATGAGATGATTCCATACATATCTACAACTCACTGGGACTATACATACCACATCTTTCAGTAATCATTCTTCCAGCATTTGCAAGACACCTTATCATTTCACATGCTACTCTCTTTATTACAAAGGAACATGTAACATGGCAACTCAATTAAAAGTATCTCAAACCACAGCTGTTTCACTTACAGTACAGCTCTATCTAATTCTTTGAAAGAAATATCTGGAAGTTCTGACCAAGAATAAAGATGTACATATCTTTTAGCCGTTCATTTCCATTCCCTTTGGGCCTAGAGACGTAAGAAGTTCGGGCCCATGCGCAAGTATCTGAGGAGATAGAGATTGTTTGGCGGGGATTAAAATTAGATTCTTAGTGTATTTTTTTGATAGAAATTTGTGAAATTTATGGTTGAAAAGTTGTTGGACTCATAAAAAATATGATTAATATTGATTATTTGACTTTGACTCATATTAAAATACGGGGAAGTCTAGAGAATCATACTTACCACTTGAGACAGACCGGACCCACCTCTATTTCTACTTGAGCATAACTCTCCCATTTTTTGTAACTTCTGGTTTTTACCGTTCTAAGCCACTGCTATAATTAGGTAAAAATTATACCAAAACCTAATTCAAAATTACTTAAACCAATTATTAGTGGTTAAACCGTCTCTATTTCATACTATATCTTAATTCTGGAGTACCTATCAATCACTAAAAAGTCAACAACGTGATGACAATAGTGTTTTGGTATATTTAATCCAGTACATTGAATCCAACCACCAAAACTTTTTTATAATTTCCAAAATTATTAGTACAGCTCTAATTATAAGCTGATCATTTTAGTAACTGATTAGCTTACAAAAATATTCTTAATTTCATGACAAATTAAGCAAATCAGCACCACAATTTACCTCCAGAAAATTTGATTAATTAAGCATAGTAAAGGGATTAAACAAGAAGTGAAATTAAAAATTCTAGAAATGTTAGTTATTAATTTTTGGGTAAAAATCTCCAGAACAGTGAGATTAAAGGAAACCAAACCATATTGGAAAGTCTTTTCCCTATTTAGACCATCTGTATCTCTCACTTTGTTTCAAAGATGCATAAAGAGTAAGATCAGCAGCAGCAGTAAAAAATAAAAATAAAAACACACACACACAGAGAAAATGGAATTCTTGAATATACTTACTGAGGAAATCTCCCAGGCTGAAGTTCTTGGTAGAAGCCCATTTCTGGTAATCAACATTAGGCTTTTCAATATTATCATACCATCCTAAAGAATCACCCACAGTGTAGTTCTTGTATGCATCAACAGATCCTGAAAAGGAAAGAAGGGTCAAGAAACTAAAGAGAATCAAGAACACAAGGCTTTGCCTATCAGTATTCTGTAATCCCATTTTCGGTGGGAGTGTTTTGTGAAACTTTGTGCGTACGTAAGAATAAGATTGCCCACTCAGAAGAAAAAGAATAAAGACAACTGCTGTGGAGTAACTAATTGGCTATATATCCACTGCCTTTAATTTATTTTATTTTATTTTATTTATTGCTTTTGGTAATGAGAAAAATAAAAATTTAAGAAGTGCATGTGGCTCTCACAATTATTTTATCTATCTTGAATGATAGCTTCATGTTATCTGTATTATTGTAAAAACGCAGTACTTGTTTCAAGAACTAACGAGTTTGGTACGCAACTGCACTCAAAAAGTTAGAAATGTAAAATGGATAAAATCTTATTTTGTTTTTAAATCTCTTTAATCTTGCTAAGTTGAATATATCAAATGCGTCATATTAAGCCCCCATTTGATTTTTATTACTTGTTTATTAAAATGAAAAATATGACCGTTATTCATTATATTAAGTCACTATATTTGACTTTCTATCTTTTGTGTGGGGCCCATAACGACTATATTTTTCATTCTCATTTTTACATTAATGTGTACCAAACGGAACCTAAATAATTTTATGCCCCCTTTTTTTCCCATTTTACTTATAAATTTACTTAAAAATAAACTTTTGAGCACAGACAAACATGTAGACATAACATTGAATAGATAAACAACCCATTTGCCTTTTTTTCAGCTTTTAAGTACTATACACTTGTATCACAGGGCCTGTCAAAAGCCCAGTTTGAGTGGCTGGCCCCCTATATACTTAGATAAGTTAGATACACATAATAAAGAATTTTCTTTGTCTGACCTAAAAAATCCTGTTTCAGACAATGCAACAAATGGTATCTATTATTCATGACATATTTTAACAGCAACTGTAAAAAGATGACAAAAGTACAGTTGGGAGTATAATTATAAGAATGGATTTTGCTGAATGTACAGCATTTGCTATAGAGCAGCGTTTACAGTCCTCATTAAAAGGTGAGGTCTACAATTATTTTAATCGTGGATCACACTCGATGCATGTGAGTGTATATCATATTTCCTAATTATAATCTCACTTATAACAATTTGTCTTACATTTTATATGTATGTTATGTATGGATAGATATCACTCATTTTGTACCATAGTAAAAATAATTATATATATTATTTTAATATAGTTCATTGCATTTTAAATGCTGAAAGATCCTTATTTTGCCCCTGTTTTGGTGTGAATTAAAATAAGACTTTTATTAAGTTTTGATAAAAATTAATGAAGTATAAGGTTAAAAAGTTGTGGATGTGTTATTAAAATTAGATGTTGATTTTAATTTGGATTAAAATCTGAATTTTAATTTCTGCCAAACAAGAGCTTAGTTAATCCCAAACAACCTACACGCTTCCCTTCTCCACAAGAGTTTCCTCCGTTGCGGCTTGGCTTTGCCATCAGGCCTCATTTCTAAAAGCTCAAATCGTGAGCCATCCCTCCCACATTAGGATTCCAAAACCCCGCCTTACTCTTGTAATGATGCCACTTTTCCTTAATTTTTGCCAAACAAGAGCTTAGTTAATCCCAAACAACCTACACTCTTCTCTTCTCCACAAGAATTTCCTCGGTTGCGACTTGGCTTTGCCATTAGGCCTCATTTCTAAAAGCTCAAATCATGAGCCATCCCTCCCACATTAGGATTCCAAAACCTCGCCTTACTCTTGTAATGATGCCACCTTTCCTTAACTTTCTCGATCGATTAATAATAAACAGGTTTTACCACAGTGGCACATGGAGTTAATATTAGGGTTGGCAACGATTCGGTTATGGGTCGATTCGGCTAAAATCATAACCGCACCACCAATTTTTTACCATACCATAACCGCACCATAACCATGTATATCAGTTCGGTTCGTATCTCGGTTCGGTTCGGTTAATAACCACGAAAATAAATTATTTTTTATAGGTTCATCCGTCAAATTGATATAAAATATTTTATTAAAAAAGTAAATGAAAACAAAAACACAATATTTCAAACGAAAATGCAAACAATATTCCAAACGAAAATGCGAACATTATCTCAATTTGCAATTGTAAAATACAAATTTAACAAACAATATTATAAATATAACAATACTAAACTTTTCCTTCATTCTTAATTGTTGTGCATCGAAATTACTTGATTCATTCTTCCCCACAGGTCCTACTAGCATAGATCAACACTCAAAGTTGATTCCTATATAGTAAATAAGAAATGTAAGTAGAGAATACAATGATACTACCTATTCCAAAACGGTCTTAACTAAGATTTAAATAAAAAAAAGTACCTATTCGTCAGCTTTCTTCTCACAAAACGTTGCACAAGCTCCAGTGTATGATGAAGAAGTAGATTTTCTACACACAATATAAAAAAAATAACAATAAAAGGATCATTGCGTGAGTTTGTGGTTTGTGGAGAGTAGATTTTGCATTTATATACCGTCATACTAATGCTATTATTATGGGTTAATGGTAAGTGGGTTAGCCGGCTGAGTCATATAATGTAATGGGGGGAGAGGGGGGATTTTGTTTTGGGCTAGATAGAAAAGTAGTGTAAAGCCCAATAATCAATTCAATTGTTTTTTTTTTTAGCGGGTAATCGGTTCGACGGCGTAAATACTATACCCGCACCGCCACGAACCCGTTCATTAAAATAAAAATCATATCCGTCCCATTGCACCATCGGTTCGATTTTTTTCGTCCCATTCGATTCAGTTAACCGCAATTTTCGATTTTGACGGTTCAAATTGCCATCCCTAGTTAATATAGCTAATAATCGAAAATGAGCATGCCACGTTAAATTTAATAATATCTAGACCATGTAAACACAGCCTATTGATTCATTTCAATCCATTGATTTACCATGGAAGATAGATCAAGTTAAGCATGTTAAACTACGTAAATTCTTTGACCGTCGGACAAGAAATGTTGAGTCAATATAAAGTTTGTTTTACACATATTTTTTTCTAAAAAAGAATGATTTTTTTAATTTAATTTTTTTAATTTTTTAATTTTTTAATTTTTTTAAGAATGTGTTGTTGGAAATGGTTTTATAGAAAATAATTTAAAAAAAAAGTTTGACAAACAATCTTTTTAATGAATTTGAGCAATATGTATCTAAACTTGTGTATGAGTAACTACATGGGATGCTCTTCTTGTTCTTGATGATTGTTCTATCTGAAACGTGTGGGGGTGTCAGTGGAGGTTATTTGCATGTGATGATGAGTGGTTGATTGGTTAGAGTAAACGTGGACATGCTAAAACCGAGCCATCTGTCAATGCCACAGCTTCTTGGAATTTGCGATCCAGCTGATGGGATGAATCGCATGGCGAGTTTTCATTGGCTATATTTCATTTTAATGAAAGTGTGTTTGGTTAAGAGAGAGATTGCGTGGAGTGGAAATTGAGGAGCAAAAGTATAAAAGAAAGAAGGCGTGCTTGGTTAAGAGGGAAAGTTGGTGGAGGGGAAAAGCGGACGGTGGAACAGTTTATGTGTGTTGTGTTTAGAGAAAAAGTGAGTGGAATGGAAACGAGGAGAGAATAGAAAAGTAGAGGGGATAAATGGGGTTATTTGAGACCATTGTTTGGTAGAATAGGTTTTATAATAGTGATTTTTTTTTAAGAATTCGTGGTTAAGAGGTGAAGAAAAATTTTGAATTTACGTTTAAAATTATTTTATTGAAAGAATGTGTAATTGTAGATGAGTTAAGGAAAAAATGAAATTTTGTAGAATAGGGTCAAACAAGGGCTTAGTCACACGACAAAAGTAAAATATCACATAAAATTGGTGCGGAGGGCGACCGGGAGGCTTGAAATCTCAAATTAAGCCATTTTTTGTTATCCTTTAAAATAATCTTTTTTTTTTCAAATTCATTTTCAATCACACATTCTCATAATAAAATATTTTGCACGTAAATTCATATTTTTTTAAAAAAACTAAAAAGCACTATTCTAAAACTCAATTTCTCCAAAATCAAACAAGGACTAAGAATTATATATTCTATCCTCAAAATTTCATAATTTATACACCTCAAGCACAAAAAGAGGGGGGGGGGGGATGAGAAACGATATAAACTTATGAAACTTAAGTTCTTGAACTTCATATTTATTGTTATGCCTCAAAATCGAGGCTAAAAAAAAAAAAGCCCACGCCTCAAAACAGAGGCTCAAGAAGAAGCCCATACCTCGAAATTGAGGCTCAAGAAGAAGCCCAGGCTTCAAAATAGAGGCTCGGGAAGAAGCCCATACCATAAAATCGAGGTTTAAGATGAAGCCCACGCCTCAAAACCAATGCAGCCTATGCCACAATATCGAAGGTCAAGAAGAAGCCCACACCTCAAATCGAGGCTCAAGACGCCATAAAGTTGAAGCACTGTGTAAGTGACTGAAACCCTTCAACGGAAGCACTATGTAATGGATCGAACCCTTGAAGTTGAAGTACAATATAAGTGCCCGAAGCCCTAAAGTAGAAGCCCTATATAAGTGGCCAAAGCCATGAAGCGGAAGTCTTGTATAAGTGGTCGAAGCCCTGAAATCAAAGCACTGTGCAAGTAGCCAAAGCCCACATGACCGAAGTAGAAGCCTCCTAACCATAAATGAGCATTTTCCATATTCACTTTTCCTAAGAGATCTTCTACATAAGGATCTTATTCAAATGATCAATGTGACCCCGATAATGAGTGATATGTCAAAGTCTTGTCAGCATAGATTGTAGGTTGGCTACTCCTTTTAAGAGCATTAAATACGTTACAGGCTAGTGAAGTCAAACTGATTCCTAAGATACGATATTTCATTTAAGGAGATGAAGCCACGTGCCTCCTCATCCAAGGGACATTATTTCATATATAACACTATAAATACCCTTCTCTTTATATATTTGAAGGCTAATATAACTGTAAACACTAAAAGATATTCTGTATCTTCTTACTTGCTTATTCCACACTATTGTTTGTTGGAGTTTAGGTTATCTTGCTTTAGTTAAGTTGTTGGTGATTGATTATTATTATGCAATCCTAAACATTTTTGTCTCGTGTCATATAGCATCTTCCACGTTCATATACTATAACCTCCTCTGATCGAGTCTATAGTCAAAACGTGTTGAAATTTGCTTGTGTTGATGCAAATGGACCCCACATCTGTTATCCAC